GTGGGGGTGGGGCGGCTGTGAGCAGCCAGCAAAGATGGCCCTGACCGCAGGCCAGGCCTAGGGACCATACCTGTGCACGAATTTCATGTGCTGGGCCTCTAGTTCACACATAAAAGGAATGGAGCACTAGCATGTTACAAAATGAAAGAAACTTGAAAGTGAAAGCCAGCTGAACATGACCAGCTGAGTATGATTCTATTAATATCAAATATCCACAACAGGCAAATCTGTAGAAACAGAAAGTAAGTAAGTGGCTGCCTAAAATGTACGTGGGGGGAAAGAGGGATGGTCAGTGACTGCTAATGGATACAGGGTTTCTTTTTTGATAACAAAAATGTTCTAAAAGTAGACTATAGTAAGCTTACACGAATCTGAATATACTAAATACCACTGAGCTGTACATCTTAAATGGATGAACTGCAGAGTTTGTGAGTTATACCTCAATAAAGCTGTTTTAAAAAGGACATGAAAGCAAGCTTTGTATATCAACATGAACAATTTTAATGAATGAAAAACATTAAATCTAGGAAATGCATGTGTCAGCAGAAGAAGAAAATGCATACTTGACATCATTTAAGATGGCTCTTAAATCAACTCCTTACTCTGAAAAGTGGTATTTAAACGTAAGGAATTAAGCCTTTGTCCTGTCTTCCCAGAAGAGATGATTCCGAAGAAGTTTTAATTTTATGGCATGTGACATCATTTTAGCTAAGTGGATACATCTTCTTAATTTTGCGCTGTATCCTAAAGGGAAGGAAAAATCAAAGTATCTGTAAGCTACCTTAAAGTATTTCAATACAAAAAATAGAATTTTAATATATTAATTATCATGAAAAGCAAAAATAAATTTTTCTATCTGTTCTGTTGGTTAGTGGACAAGATAATAATACTACACTGAGTTTACCAATTTTGTAAAACTGAGGGAAACTGGAAAAAAGTGATCACACATAACCAGACAAGTATTTATTACTTTTTAAAAATTTTTATTGTTGAAAGTATTACATATGTCCCCTTTTCCCCCCATTGGCGCCCACAGCCCGCCCCCGCCCCTGCCCCAAGCCTTCACCACCCTATTGTCTGTATCCATGGGTTATGCATATATGCATACAAGCAGACAAGTGTTTAGAAAAACGTTTCCACACATCCCCAGGGATAAAAGCATCCCAGTGTGTGAAACGCTCAAGCAGGGTGTTTACTACAGTGTAAAGCAAGCATGTCAAACTCTCAGCCGCTGGGCCGCATGCCTCGTTAAATGAGTTTGACATGCTTGGTGTAAACGGATAGGAAGCAATGAATCACATACCAGTCAGAGTGTGAGCAAGGATCCCAATGTACTCCATGATGCTTTTCACAAAGAACACACATCTCTCATGTTGATGAAATAAAAGCAAAGGAAGAGACACCGCTGGCAAGGGCACCCCTTGCTCAACTCACCTGCAAGGTCTGCTTTCCAACTCTGACCTTGTGGATTGATGAAACATGGCTCTTTCCCTTGTTCCAGCTGAGAGATCAGAGCTGGTTTGAAACTGGGTGATGCTGCTTGAAGGAAAGAAGACACACACAAAGATTAGAGGTCAAGGGGTCAACCTCAGCCTATGGCTACAACTGAGTTGTAGCCAGAGGTGAGGAGAGCAATTCCTGGGTGGACTGAGCTAGAGGTACCCTAAATAGGGGTCCTGGGAAGAAGCCTCAGGATCATGCTCCCAAGGAAGCCTGTAATACCCTGGGAGGCAAATTTCTATTTAAGGGAAACAAAATGTCTTACCTTCTTTGCTAGGGGATGGAAAATTCTCACTGGGGGAAAACAGACACATGGCTCCTAGGAGCAACTCCCACAGGGAGAATGGGGGGCCAAGTTCTCTCAAGATAATCTGAGGGCTCAATGCTAGGGTGAGGGTACCTCTCTAAGGCGGGGAGGGAGGGTAGCTTTTATGGTGTCTGTCCTGTAGATCAGACACCGGGGCCGTCTGTACCTGGCAACTCTTGACATTGGCATTTGGGGTCAGCTACTAAGTGTAAGAGAGCCCTTTAACTTCTGAGGGCCCAGGCAGAGACCCATGGCAGAGGCCTTACCTAGGGAGGCCACAGCCGCATAGTTCTCTAGCATCACATCCCTGTACAGGGCCCTCTGAGCAGGTCCCAGGCTGGCCCATTCCTCCGCAGTGAAGTACACGGCCACATCCTCAAAAGACACCAGTTCCTGAAACAACAAGCTGCTGCTCTTCCAGGCCTCAGGACTTTGGTGATGGTCAACACTGTCAATGAGAGGCCTGGGAAGGGCACCTACAATGGTATGTATTTAGTATTGGGTCCCTCATGTGCCTGGTGAGTTTTTGTGTAAAATTTGGAAGGTGTGGGGAAAGAGGATGCAAATTAAAGGCAGCCAGAGTTCAGCATACTTTCCCAGTTAGAATCAAATACATGAGCTTCCAATATAAGTGACCTCCAAATAGACTACTATATAGGAGCTGGGCTTGAGCCTGAGTGTGAAATTACATATATAATAAAAGCAGAACTGCCGGGGTCCAGCCCCAGCGGTCCAGGGGTTCCCAAAGGTGTGGACGGCGTCGGCGAAGAATGAAGGACACAGAGACAGCGTTCAGATGATCAGCATAGTCAGGTTCTCCTTCATTGTCCTGTTACAGCTGCATATATACTACCTGATTCTATAAGCATGCCTGTATAGTTACAACATGGTATGTTTTGGGTCCTCCTTTGACCTTTTACAGTTCCTTGTTTTCTTATCTGACGTTTGCTAAAAATCTTATCTCTATCTAGCTCTGTTGATTTTAATCTTATCTATTGTCTGTTTCTACATTCTATTCTAAAGGTTAGTCTCTGTGTTTCATTATAAGGGCTAGTTTGTTATTTCTATTCCAAGGTCACTATTCTACTGCTCTACTGTTAAGCTATAAGGAAATAACTGAAGAAGATTTTCCTATTCTATGGCCTAAGTAAAGGTTATGTTCTTTTAGCCTTGCTGGTGGTCTTCCTTGGGACTGCCCTGCGTCGGCGGGTTTTTAGGGGTATAGGCTTTGGTACTTTCTCTGGTGGGTACACCCCTGGGGATGTGGGCCTAGCAAGTCCTAAATTTATTGCTAACAGTCTTAGTCTAAGTTCCTCATAAGTAGTACA